AATACTTCACTATTGTTTGCTGATTTGCTATTGCATTGCTGCTGCCTTCGGTGGCATGGGCCCCTCAATTCACATTTGTAATTTTTTTCAAGTCACATGTCATTAATTGTCAATGTGGTCTTCGGCAATCATTTGAATAAGTATTCAGCTACAAGAAATACAAATGCTTGATCATTTGAATTTTTAGCTGTTGCACAGATTAAATGTTTAGAAATCTATGACAAATCCCATTGTGAAAGAAAAATAAATAAGTGCTCTTTGAGTGTTGAAGATAGTGGGTGTGGTGCTTAATTTAAAATATTTATAAATATAAATGCATTCATAATTCATGGTTACATTGATATCACAAGAGTTATATATGAAAATCTGTGAATAAAGTCATATTTAGAGTAAATTCTTTTTTAAAGGATGTAAAACAAAGTTTGCTATTCAAGAGCATTGCCAGTGTACTTCAAAGGTTTTCATCTATTTAACACTAAAAAATGTAAAATATCTTTGGACTTACAATATTTGTCATTTGTAAACATTTATATTTGATCTGTTTGTGTTTATTGTTAAAGGAAAAACATTCTTATCATCTTAGGTTCATCTTGGTACCTGCTTATGTCTTGTATTCCTTGAGCTGTCTTGACCCTTGTGTAAGAATCACCAACAAAGACATGTCTTTGTGACAATATTGCTATTTTCCAGGTTATGATAACAAAATTTACATAGCTGGTACTGTCAGAATTCTCTTACACTCAAATTATTGCACAGCAATCATTAAAGTTTATGACAAATCGACATGCTGCATTAGCTCCCAACAGAAGTGTTTCTCACCTTTCTGTAAGAAACATCAGCGCGTCCAAGTATTCAGGTGAAGCAACTTTACAGACTGATACACAAACTTTGAAAATGACAACACATATCGGATCTGTTTCTTCATTTTTATTAGACATACTCTCATCTCTTTTACAATGTCCTGTCAGTAATATGAAGAATACATTTGAATTAGCTAATGCTTATTATATAAATAATAAATATTAAATGCTTTTTATATTTTCTTTGGGAAAAGTGATTAATAGGGATATGCTGATAAGACCCTCCTAGAATTTAAAATAGGTTAATTACCCCCATGTGGTCCCTTAGAAAATGGTGGAAATTTCTATTTATTTATTCATATATATATATATATATATATATATATAATGTGGTATTATATATTCTATATACTTATGTGAGTAAGTGAAAATGTTTGGAGGGCAGAAAATAAATCTTGTTACATAATTCAGCTGCAGAGCAGAGCAAGTGATTGTACAACTACATTGAACTGTATAAAGCATTTGATAGAAAAAATTGAAATGTTTTCAAAATATTCTTGTATATGTCTACAGAATCACTCTTAAACATTTATTATTTAGCATGTGATTCTGCAATTTTATTGGCTTGAATTTACCTTTGCAAAAGAATTTAAAATATTGCTTTCAAATATAGTATTTTTACCTTTTATTGAGTTGAAATATTTACTAGAATTTAAAAACAGGACATTTTAAATTCACGATTATATGCCGATACATGAGAGGATATTATTTTGTGAACTATTATTTGGATTATTTTTTTGACAAATGGTGATTCTTTACCTCAGAACCCTAATACAGTTAATATGCTATTGTTTTTCTATTTTTGAATGTCAATCCTTAAATAATTCCTTCTTTTTTTAAAATGTATTTGGTAGGGGTCTCATTACCACTACATAGCTCAGACACATAGTGATCCTCCTGTTTTCAGCCTCCCCCGCACTGGGATTGAAGGTGTGCGACACCACACCCAGTCTCGGTGCCTCAGCATGCCTCAGGGTGGGACCAGCGCATCAAGTGTGGCTGGGGAATCTAAGGAGGACCCTGCCCTTGCCTAAGCAGGCTCTTAGCGCTCTGAGCTATCATGTCAGCCTTTGAATGCCAATCTTAAGACATTTGGAAGAAGATTGCTTCCACTCATTTCCCTCGGTTAAATAGCAGTCTTACTGGGAAAGTCATAATAATGAATGAAAATAAACATTTATACAACAATTTTGCTTTATTACTTGAAAGGACAAAAGTAGTTATGTGGAGAAGCTCAAAAGAAATTTTCTGCTAGATTCCGGAAAGCCAAAAGACTGCCATTTCTTTCTTATTTTTAATAAAAGATAATTTTTTAGTGTTTTGTGATTGGTATATTAATATTTTATTTAAAAAGTATTGTATCTTGGACAAAATCAAACAAAATGAAGCAAAATATTTTTAAAACTGTCTCATGTAATTTCTTATACATATAACCAAAATTTATACTTATGATTATTAAATAACTAATATAAATATGCAATGAAATTCATGGTCATCTTATTTTAAAAATAAAGCATGAGTTTACATGACAACATGAGGCTTATCTACCTAAAAAGTATGTTGTTTGGTCTTATTTTTGTCTTGATTTTCATCACACTATGTGAAAAGTCACTTTTAACTATACACATTAGGCTTAAATTGTGTTTGTGACTTAATTTGCTGATTTTTATCCACATATAACCTTTTAACATGCATAATTGAACAGCACATATATTTTCAGTGTTTCATTTTACACTGTGAAAAATTGAAATGTGGAGATGTTAGATAAATTTTGCAAAGTGAGGAGCCTGGAAAATACAGACATGTATACAATTTTTAATGAAAATGTTATCTTAATAATTGAATATAGAAGGGCCAGCCAAAAAGCTCATCAGATTAAAGAGCCTGCAAGCAGGTTCAGGGGCCAGGGGTTCAATCCCTGGGCTTATGTGCCAGCCGCACCCCAGGGGCACACTCAGAGAGCAACTGAGACTGGGCGTGGTGGCGCACACCTACAATCCCAGCTCTTGGGAGTCTGTAAGCAGGTGGATCATACGAGTCTGATCTAGTAGTAAGACTCTGAACACCCTGTAGACCCTTCCCTAAAAATAAAACAAAAAATTGAATATAGGGAAGGGAAGGTATTATTCAAAATAATTTCATGATTGGTCTTAAATTTTAAGGTCTAGGCCCTGCCAGATAGCTCGGAGGACTAAAGCGCCCACTTCAGCAGAGAACAAGGCCCGGCCGGGTGCAATCCCCATCTTACTTCTCTTTGTTTTTTTCTCTGTTTTTCTTCACTTTGTGGCACACACACTCATCACACACACACACACACACACACACACACACACACATGCCCCGCATACACACACTCATCACACACACTGCACACACATGCAGTCATCACACACACTGCACACACACACACACACACACACACACAGCCTTATCACACACACATCACATCACATTAACTATAAAGGGGAGGATCACTATGAGTCTGATCTGCGTAGCGAGCCCTTGTACACCATGTGGACTCTGTCCTAAATTAAAAGAAAAGTTATAAGATCTAAATTTAATTATGCATACTAATGATTAAGCATGAATTTACATGGTATCAAATCATAATATAACTACTATTCTTAATTTTATCAGTAGCAAGGTCTCAACTGAAACGTTCACTACTTCTTATTGCCCCCCAAAATTCTATCTAGTGCATTTTCTACTGTTTAAATCCATTTAAAATGTTCAGTAATGATCAGAAAAAATAAAATTTTATATATCATTACTGCTTTCAGTAAGAAAATGTGCTAGCCAAAACTTTGGTTTCTGATCCACTGTGCTTCACACATAGAGTGCTTTTGGTTCCTAGACGAACCCGAAGTGTCTAACTGCTTGAGTCCTTTGCTGCATGCACAGTTCTCATTACCGCAGCCTGCACGCACGGACTTTGTGTCCCCATCTCTGAAGTGGAAGTGAGAAGGCGTGCAAGGTAAGACTGCCGGGAGGGCCGCAGTTCAGGAGATGTCACACGCTCAGTAAATGTCACACTCAGTACAACCTGGTTCTAGACGTTGAAGGAGAAATGCTGTAAAAATCCAAATTTTCTCTGCTTGCTAAGCTGAGATGTATTTGAATTCTATTATACTGAAGATTAACTTCAAATCAGCACATGGACATTTTACTATATCCACGTTTCAAAGAAAGAAAGAATAGATTGAATATAGTAATACACATGCATCTACAATCATAACTATTATGTTTTCTGGATTGTCTGCAATTGTTCAAGCACTTGAGAAGACATTTTTATTAAAATAACATCCCAAAGATCAGCAACTCAACACAGTCAATGAAAGAACATGCGCAGATCAAACGGATCATTGTTATTGAGGTCCCAGGTCAAAGCAGCGAAAGACAGCGGAGATAGCTGAGTAAAATTCTGCTCCCTAAAGCTTTTCTTTTTGCTCCGCAAAGCTTCACTCCAGAGGGGCTCCGTCCTTTCGGCAGCTGCCCTCCTGGGGCGGCCGGCGGTTGCTCAGCTCCTCACGCTTCCTCCTGGTGCGGATGAACGTCCCCACCCTTTTCTGGATGGACTTGAGGGCGCGCTCGTCCTTGGAGACGCTGAGCAGCTCCATGGCGCCTCCCGCATCACGTTCCGCGCTAACTTGGAGCATCTGGCGAGGCGTCCGCGATGCAGCGGGGCTGCGGTCTGCGCACATTCGTAGTTGCCTTGCGGCCCTCGCTGAGGCCCACGGCCGCGAGACAGCGCAGGGCTCCGGTCCTGCTCAGTGGCTGCTGCGGTGGCGGAAGCCTGAAACTTGGGATTCTGTCGGTCGAACATACTGGCTGATCTCCAAGTTCCTTGAACTTCCCTGACCTTAGGTTACCTGCCTAGTAAACACGTCTTGAACAACATATCTACCTAAAGTATTTTGGGAGTATAGAAAATATTCGAAGCATACAAAAGAGTCCCTCTAAGAAATAAGAACACAATGACGTTTAGGAGGTATTAGTGTGGAATGTTATGTCACAGGGTAGGCTGCCCACCTCGTCGGACTCTCTTGTGCGCGAGGCTCCCTGGGGTGTTCTCAAATTGTGTTCCCACACGCCAGGAGAGACTAACGGCTTATATAAGAACGAGCACTTCCATTGCTCCAGCTAGGCTTCAAATGCATATTCAGAGATGTCATTGGAACAAGACATACGCTGGGTACTCATCACCTGCAAAATACAGGACTAAGCATAACGAGAGGATATCCAAGAAATTTTTCCTAAATTTCTTCCCTTACAGTAATTAAATGATACCTCAAATGTTAAGTGGAATAATTAAAAACATGATGAAAGATAAACAAATAATTGTCTAATGCCTATTTGAAATACATAGTTTTTCACTGAGAAAATTCATTACAGTTTGACATAAGAAGCAAAGCTTTCTGGACAGCCTAACCATCAAATAATAGACAAAATTAATTTCGAATTTCCATATAATGGGAAACATCTTACATATGAATTTTCTATTTTGTGAATTTTCTTAATTCAAATTTTTTCACTTTTAAGAATTAATGGGGCTAGGAAGATGGCTCTGTGACCTAAGAGTCTGCCTGGCAAGCACAAGGCGCAGGTTTGATTCCTGCCAAATGAAACCTTGGGACCCCGGGGGTGGGGTACTGGCCACTGAAACTGGGTGCAGTGGCACACGCCTGTATTCCCAGCACTGGGGAGGCAGAGACAGGAGGATCACTGTAAGTCTGCACTGCATGGTGAGACCCTATGCCAAATAAATAACACATTAAAAAAATACACAACAGAATAAAGTGCCTGCAAGCAGGCTCAGAGGCTGGGAGTTGATCCCCATGCCTGCTGGGCTGGCCCTGCCCCTGGGGTGTGCTGACAGGGCAATTGAGACTGGGTGTGGTGCGTGGGCCTGTAATCCCAGCTCCTGGAAGGCTGTAAACAGGCGGATCACTACAAGTCCGACCAAGTAGTGAGGCCCTGAACACCCTATAGACTCTTCCCTAAAATTTAAAGAAATAAATACGAAATAATAAAAATCTTACATAAAAAGTTAAAAGATGAAAAAGTAAAATTACACATGGTAAAACGCTTTTGGGTGAAAATTGCAAAAATGAATCTCATTATTGGGTAAATTACACTGAATTTCTAGATCACTGGTTCTAGTGTTTACTTAATTTTAATTTTTATAATTATTATCATTATCCAAATAGAAATCTATACAGTTATCTAGAGTAGAGACTCTCCAGTAGTCAGAATACTCAATCTCTGAGCAAATGTTTCATGTTTTTAAGACAGAAATTCATATCACTTCTGAAGAAAGCAACTGCACACACACTGGAATAGTATTTTCATATGTTGCTGTTCTAAAATTGCATTTATGAAAACCACTGATTGATATACTACTTGTAGATTCACAGGTTGCACTTTAAAGGTTTATTATAATGAACACACTCACTACCGCATGAAACCTGGAAAATCTAATGCTTCCACTTGTCATATTTAAAAGAAATCAGTTCTACTATCTGTATAAGCACTTGGTTGCTTCAGTTTTTTATTTGGACATTGCTGATTTTGGTGAATTATATATGAATAAACCTTCAAAGAAAGATCTATACTATTAGAGGTTGCAGAATAACATTGTTAATGAAACAATTTTCAAGTATGGATTGTAAACTCGAAAGGTGCTTTTGAAAATCAACTGAGACAGGAAGCTTTTTATAAAATCTAACTTTATAAAAATAACATTGATTTAAATCATATCTAATGGTAAGTTGAAGGAATAAAAATTGGTAGAATTTACATTCATCTCCTTAGAGGAGCCTGTGGTTGATTACGAATGTTTGAAAGGTGGTACATTTTTCTTATTATACAGCAAGATGTACAAAGGAACGTTTTACAATTGATGCCTTAGAATTAATTTCCATTTAAGATAATTCCATAGCTTTTATTTGAATTTTCTAATATGTATATATACATATGTTTATGAAAAATATTCATATATACTTGTACTATTGCATGTATTTATATTAAAGGTAGCAGCATTTCTTTTTGCTTTTCTCATAAGATTGAATTTACAGGTTTTTCTTAACTCTTCAGTAATGAACAATAGAATATTATATTTCAAAATTTTTGGCAAATAGATATTAAATCCTTATCCCTTTGAAAATGACAAATAATTGAGTTGATGGATTTGTTACCTATATTCATTTAAGCATCACATATTGTCATCATATAATCATTATTTATTGATTTTAAAGTTGCATCATTATAAGTGTAGCACAGCACTTTGTCACACCTCTGTAAATGTGAAATATCTTGGACCAGGTTTAGGACACGTAGTATGACTGTGCTTTATCAAAACTGATTTTAATGATGTTACTCCAAAATGTTTTCTTTCCAGATGATTAAGAAGCTAATAAAAAGAAAATGGTGCCAGATGCCACAACAGTAATAGAACTTTGATGTTTTCTGGGTATTTTTCTTTACTTTCTTTTTATTTTTTTTTTATTTTTTT